CTGTACTTGACAAAATTGCATTGCCTGTTGATGTGAATGATCGTAAGTTTACAGTGAACATATATTTTGCACTGGATCCTGGCACTTTGCCAATGGCACATTTGTGTTCAACGGAATTAGCTCTTTCCCCTTGCATACACCATGTGTTAAAAAATTAGACTGATGTCACTGAATATACCATTAATGCAGGTGGGGCAATGCTAGGCCTTGTGAAGAGCTCCATTGGTACAAAATTCACTGGCCAGTTTGGTGATCTTATTGCTGTAAGCATCTTTCTTCCATGTGGAACTTCAACAATTCCCTCCAGATTATAGTTCACTTTGGCTTTGTCTTTAAGTCAAACTTCTTTTACTTTGACCAAGTTTACAAAAAAGAAAAAAAAAATCAACAGCCCAACATCTACAACATCAAATTAGTATCATTAATTTCTCCACGAAATATGTTTTGTTAGTGTATTTATTCGAACTTGTGGATGGTAATATATTTTCCTAAAAGCGTGTTCAAAGTTAGAGTTGACTTAGGACGATGCCAAAATGATGAAATAATTTTGAACAGGGAGGAGTACCACCTATCCAACCTTGGATTTTACTTATTTGATACCTCATGTTGCTGTATTCAGGACCTTGCTATTGATGCTACTACAACAGCAGGCGTTGACCTTGGTCAGGGTATGCGTGAAGTTGATATCAAGAAATACATTAAAGTTGAAAAGGTTCCTGGTGGTCAGTTGGAGGATTCTAGAGTCCTTAAAGGAGTTATGATCAATAAGGATGTTGTGACTCCTGGAAAAATGAGGAGAAAGATAGTTAACCCCCGTATCATCCTGTTGGACTGCCCTGTTGAGTATAAGAAAGGAGAAAATCAGACCAATGCTGAGTTGATGAAGGAAGAAGATTGGTAAGAGATGTCCATGTACCACAATGATCTTACTGAAATGCAATGCATGCATAGTTTTAAAAGTAATTTGGTAGAGTTCTAATTTATATTATGTGGCAAACTTTATTGCAGGCAGGTTCTGCTAGAGATGGAGGAAGAATACATAAAGAACCTGTGCGCTCAAATTCTAAAATTCAAGCCTGATTTAGTAATCACAGAGAAAGGGCTCAGTGATCTCGCTATCCATTATTTGAGCAAGGCTGGTGTTAGTGCAATCCGTAGACTTAGGAAAACTGACAACAACAGGATTGCTAAAGCTTGTGGAGCAGTTATAGTGAACAGGCCTGAGGAGCTCCAAGAATCTGATGTGGGAACAGGAGCTGGCCTGTTTGAGGTCAAGAAGATAGGCGATGAATTCTTTGCCTTTATTGTTGACTGTAAAGATCCCAAGGCATGTACTGTTCTGTTGAGGGGAGCAAGCAAGGATGTATTGAATGAAGTTGAGAGAAACCTGCAGGTATTTCTTCCTCCCCATTTCCATGTATTTGTACTCCTTGCAAAAATAATTTGTACTCCTTGCACAAAATAATTCTAGAAACCTTTCGTGTATTAGTTGGCAGGCACAATATGATCTCAGCCAGCCATTCCCTGCAAATTTGAATTCAGCATTTTGTTTCATTGATGGCCAGTAGAATCCTTTTGACCATCTAAGCAACCTCAGTGTCTGATTAGCATTGGATCTTTGGTTCCCTCCTCTTTTAATTTCCCTTATTATCTCGTTTATTGTAACTATATATACAAATATTCTATTTTTGTTAGGAATTACATGGAACCCAACTACCTGTAATGAACACTCATTTCCCTCAAAGCATGTCCAAGTTTAGGCTAACATAATGGTCTGTGTAAATTTTCGATGCAGGATGCCATGTCCGTTGCAAGAAACATTTTAAAAAATCCAAAACTCCTTCCTGGAGGTGGTGCTACAGAGCTGACTGTATCAGCAACACTGAAGCAAAAGAGCTCTTCAGTTGAAGGCGTGGAAAAGGTATTGTTTTGCTATTGTTGATTACCTGTATTGGATATTAACGGTCGATTAAGCTATATTTATGTGGATGCTTAGTGCAACAGTGCTTAATTCTGTAAGCCTGTGACCACATATACTCTGCAAATGTGATGTTATTGTGCTGAGTGGATTAGTGCACCATTCTTTGATGTGCAATTCCTGATTGATTTTGTTTTTTGTTTATGTCAGTGGCCCTATGAAGCTGCTGCTCTAGCATTTGAGGCAATTCCAAGGACTTTGGCCCAAAATTGCGGTTTGAATGTTATTAGGATAATGACACAACTTCAGGGAAAGGTAATAATCCCAAAACTCTTTTTATGTTTCTGTGAACTTGTCCCTGTATGGAAGTGGTACATGTCTTCTATCAGAAGCATCATAAACTTGACATTTAGGAAAGGTTGGGATAGAGGGTGTTGTGGGTTCTCCTAGTGCAGAAATTCAATTAAAGCTGCACCTTGAAAATGCTTGGGAACGTATTGAAGCATCTACATGCAAATTTATCTTGAACACTATTTTGGAAGTACTGCACTGGGACCCTGTTTAGCAGGGAGGAGCCAGAAATTATTCATCAGGGGGACCAAGTGGAAGGTGCAAAATAAAAAATTTCACTGAATTACCTGGTGAATTTTTGTGTTCCTAATAGGGGTGTCCCTTGCATAGGGGGTATTTTTGGCCACCCGCAGCCCCTCAGCAAGCTGCCTTAAAATCTGAGTTAGGAGAACATAGGCTTATAATGGATTTGAGATGTTATGATTGATTATTAGAAAAAATCATCGATGGAAATGAATGTTTTTTCCTTGCATCAGCATGCTAATGGTGAAAATGCATGGGTTGGCATTGATGGAAGGAGTGGTGATATTGTTGATATGAAAGAGCGAAAGGTATTTCTCTTTATCTGCACAAATGCAAGTTTGACCAATGTTTGTATGTCTAAACACCACAATGTTGTCCATTTTAGATCTGGGATTCCTACAGCGTTAAAGCGCAGACGTTCAAGACAGCAATTGAGGCTGCTTGCATGCTTTTGAGAATCGATGACATTGTCAGTGGTATCAAGAAGAAGCAGGCTCCTGGAGCCTCCGCTCCAAAGCAACCCCAAATTGAAACTGAGGGCGATGTTGATAATGAGCAGATGATCCCAGAGTAGTGGCTGTGACGAACCTGCACCGGCAAAGTTATTTACTAGTGCCAGAATAGCACTTTGAGCAGAGTTCGTTTTATTTGAGTGTTGGTGGTTAGCCTTAGCTTAAAAGATGTACCTGATTTTATATAGTTTGATGGGTGGTCCGAGGGTTTTGGGATCCAGGTTTTGTAGTGCGGTTGCGGCTCATTTTACTTTGGACTGATGGACGACAAACACGCAGTGAAACTAGTCTTTTTATGGCTAATAACTTTGCTTGTTGTATGCTGCAAATCTACTTTGTACATGGTAATGCTGTCGTTTCTCGTGATCAGAACTGAGTCTTAGTGCTCTCCTTTCTCATGATCCGAAGAGTCTTACCATTACAACTTCGGGTAACTGATAGACGGCACTTGATGAATCACTATTAAGCGACGTGGTGTTACAAGTGATACCTAAAACTTACGTCACTGTCAATTGGTTGGGTCGACTACAAGTTTTTTTTTTGAAACGGTAAAAGATATTTGTTACTATAAACAGAGTTTAGAGATGGGCTGGAACAGGGACATTTTCCATTGGAAGTTCTAAAGTGCAGAATAGAGACGAGAGGTCCTAACGTTCGTTTCGCTTGTCTAGCCTCCTTTGTGACCTTATCAGCATTTTTGTTTGCTTCCCTCTTAATCTTGATGACAGTGTTGCATTCTGCTTGTGTAGCCTTCTCTGTGAGCTTATCAGCAATTTTATTTGTTTCCCTCTTAATAATCTTGATGACTGAATGTTGCATTCTTCGAGTGATTTTTGCCAATTCAACAAGAATCGGTCCTAGAGACCAAAGGCTAGGATTGAGGCGCATAGATCTTCACCTTGGCCCACAGTAGTTAGTGCATGTGCTTCTGCCTCCATGGATTCCATCTTCCATGTGATATGGAATGACAACCTGAAAAAAAAAGATGTGCAGACGCTCAGCCTGTTCGGCTGCTCAGTTCTTTGCTTGTTTCAGTTTGTTTGAGCTTATTCTCTCTCACATAATACTATTGAATCATCCGAAATCATCCAAAACCTGATCAGCTATGTGTAAGGAAAGTAAGTATGAAGTTGCCTAATCCAGAATAGGTTTGATTTGGAAGCTGCTGCACACACAGAAGCATCGCAAAAAAACCTTTGGGCCATCATTCACCTGTAGTGGCACGTGATGGCTCTTGTGTCGTAGCGAGTCCTGGGGTGTGGTGGAAACCATGTGACCATACCGCTAGTTTCTAGTCTAAACCGTAAAATCTACTGTGTTATTGGTAGTGAACATTAATATCGCGTTAAATGATGTACATACTATATACAGTACATACTTTTACCGTTGCAAATTGGACTCCCGAATTCTTGTTGGAAAATAACTTCTCTACTAGCACGTTTGGTGCCTTAAAAGCCGTTAATAAGTTTGGAAATCATTTGCTTGTTTTGGTGTTGATGTCACGCTATCATAGCAATTACAGTAATCAGGAAAAACTAAGATAAAAACGATACTTATTTATTTTTGCACAAATACCCAAGAATGATAAGGAGCAACTACTTTAAATTTGCTTCTTTCGTACACATTTTGTGTGAGCTTCCAATTTGTAGTAGACTACAGAATCTAGAGTTTGTAAAGAAAAGCAGTAGAGGACAAGTACTTGAAAACTCAGCGAAGAAATTTGTACTTTCATTTTGTGTGATTGCTCTAAGAGCAGCAATAACGCAAGCCATCGAGACCATATGCCTCAGCTATTTGAATAATTTGATCCAAATTGAAAATAGGACAAAAACATTTTTAATAAAGCCCCTCATCTCCCTCAACTATTTGATCCACACCCACTTGGAAACCAAAGCCCAAACCCACGCGAAGAACCCAAGCAAGCGTCCCCACTCCCCACGCCAGCGCGGACCCCTCCCCGAATTCCCCAAGCCGCCATGCCCGACTCTGCCGATCCCCTCCCCACGCAACCCTCGCCGGATCCGGACATGCCGCCGCGGAAGCCCCTCGCTGGCGGCGGCGGCAAGAAGCTCAAGAAGCCCCTCACCGACAAGCAGCGCGCTGCCGCGGAGCAGCGCCTGTCCCACCTCCGCGCCCACCTCAACCTCCGCCCCCTCGAGTCCCCAGCTGCCGGGGCCCGTGCCCTACCGCCGCTGCAGGAGGCGGCGCTCGATGCCCTAGGACTGCTCGACTTCTTCCGCCTCGACCTGCAATCCGACGCCCCGCGCCCCGACCTCATCGCCCCGCTCGTCGCCTACTACGACCCGGCCTGCAAGCGCAGCTTCGTCCGCGGCGTCCGCGTCGCCGTCTCGCGCCACGACCTCACCCGCGCGCTCTGCCTACCCCCGAAGCCCGCCTCCGCGGCGCCGGCCCCAGCCGACGTCGACCCCGCAGCGGTGGTCCCTGCCGTTATGCAGCTCCTGCATGATTACGTCCTGCTCCCGTTCCAGGGGGATGACATGTGCATACTGCCGCAGGAGGTGGTCGCCGCGGAGCAGGCGGTCAGGGAGGGGGCGGCGCATAGGGTTGACTGGGGGGGCCTGATCTGGGGCCTCGTCGAGAAGGAGATGCTCGAGCTGCCCAAGAGGGAAGACGGGTTGTGTTACTACGGGCCGCACCTGCAGAGGCTCATTTATGCCCAAAAGCCACATCTGTTAGCGCTGGTGGAGGAAGGGCCTGTTCCGGAGGTGTCTGCTGATGTGGAGATGGAGGAGGAGGATGGTGATGTGGATTTGAAAAGCAAGAGCTTGGTGGAGCTGGAGCCGGGGGATGGGGATGGGGATGGGGATGGCGATGCGGGTAACGATGTGAGGAGCAAGAGCTTGGAGGAGTCGGAATTGGGGAATGCTGGTGCAAGGAATGATGGTTTGGACGAGTTAGAGTTGGGGGATGCTGTTACAAGAAACAAGGTCATGGAGGAGTTGTGTTTAGGGGATGTAGATGCCAGGAACAACAGTATAGAGGAACTAGAGGTGGTCGAGGAATATGCAAGGATCAAGAGCTTGAATGAATGTGAGGCTGTGGATGTGGATCCAGATGCCATGGACAACAATATAGATGAAATGGAGACGGTCAATGAAGATGCAAGGAGCAAGAGCTTGAATGAATCTGAGGCTGTGCATGTGGATCCAGATGCCATGGACAACAATATAGACGAGATGGAGACGGTCAATGAAGATGCAAGGACCAAGAGCTTGGATGAATCTGAGGCTGTGGATGTGGATCCGGATGCCATGGACAGCAATATAGATGAAATGGATGCGGTGAATGAAGACGCAAGGAGCAAGAGCATGAATGAATCTGAGGCTGTGGATGCCATAAACAACAATATAGTCAAATTGGATGCGGTCAATGAAGACGCAAGGAGCAAGAGCTTGAATGATGAATCAGAGCCGGTGGAAGAGGATGTTAAGGGTCCAAGCTTCGATGACATGAACACCGTGGATGAGCACGTCAATGGCACAAACACGGATGGTTTATGTTTGGGATTTGTGGCAGTTGAAGCTGTGCCTGCTGTACATGAGGCAAGGCTTGACAATAATGAGGAAACGACAGAGGAAGCACCAGCGGGGGGTGATGATGTGCCAGGCGGTGATGATGTGGCAGTGCCTACAGATGTGGATGGTGAAGAACCCTCGGTGGAGGCAGTAGTTGTAACACAGGAGGTAGTGGCTGTTGCAGACGAGTTGGGGGATGAGGAGGCTGAGGGGGATGAAGAGAGGGATGCAATGGGATTGAGCTTGGGGTTTAACTCTACCAATGGTTATGGTGCTATGGATGTGGAAGAGGAAACTAATGTTGAGAATTTGGATGAGGATGAGAGTGACAGTGGCAATGAAGAGGCAGAGGAGTCAGAGGATGATGCATTTGACGTTAATGATGGAGAGGACATGAATTGGAGAATTGGGGATGGCCAGGGGGATGAGGGAATGTCACATTCCTTACAACGCTGTAACACATTTGGGGGCATGGAGTTTGAGAACCTGAATAAAGGGGAGGCTGAGATGAGGGATGAGTTAAGGTTTGACGATTTCCCTGCGAGGGCATCTTTGGAAAGGATGACATCATCAAACCTCCTCCAAGCCCTGAACTCAATTCCCTCATCATACAATGTAGCAGAGAATGTGCATGATCTGCCTTCTGGGGATTTCTTGGCTATGGGGGCTGATGCACATAAGAGTGGAGTGGACCTGGGACCAGGGAGCTCATATTTATTTGGGAATAATGGTAAGAGGAATATTGACGATATTGATGGGTACAATGGCAATATGCAGGTGCAAGAGGAGTTTCCTCAGTCTAATCAGCATAAGAGGATGCGGCATAGTAACAGTAGCAACATATCACCTGGATCAGCCTTTTTCAATGCAAGCTTTTCGGTACCTATACAGAACTTGATGGTTGAGGCAAGCAGGCTCTATGAGAAGAATGAGCAAAAACTTCAGAATTTGCAATTTGAGAAACAACAGTGGTCTCACATGCTGCAGCAGAAGGAAGCCATTATCCAATCCCTAAACTCAGCTCGGTTTGAGCAACAGAATAAGTATCAAGCGGAGCTTAGACACTTCGAGCATGATCTGAATGTTATGGCTCAGTTGGTCACTACCTACAAAAAAGCTTTAAAACAGACACGGGCTTCTTTTGATGAGTACAGGAAGAAGTTCCCTGCAATGTTCCTCTTTATGGTGATGTTGCTGGCGGCATGCGGTCTTGTTCTTGGTGTGAGGGAGTTGGAGAAGAGGCGGTGTGAGGAGGAGCAGCAAAAAATTGCCATGGTAAATGGTATGATTGAAAGATTCCAGTACGAATGGTTCTCAAAGCAAGATGAGTGGGGACTTTCTGTCAACTCACTGTGGAGCAGAGTGGAAAGACTCTATAAGGAGATTCAGCTTCTCAAGGAAAACAGAAGAGCAAGATTTGCTACCCCAGCTACAGAGGAATCTATCCCAGCTACAGAGGAATGAGTTCCCTGACAGTCAGAGGTATGTGGATTAGTATAGAAGTAGTAGTCTCTTGTAGTTAAGTGAACAAATGAATTGTCTAGACTCTAGAAAAAGATGCACATTACACGTGTAAAGTTGTATGCTAAATTGAACTTTGAAGCCTGTTGCTACTACTTTTGAGCACAGCTCTCCTGTGTACTTGAGAAAAAAAAACTACTTTTGTGCACTTCCTTAAACTACACGAAAACACTAGGACAGAAACAAAAGAACCTGCTTTACCATGCAGTGTTCACTACTTGCCTTCATTTAGTATAAACATTTCCTGTTGAACTGCTACATCCCATAATCATAAGACAGATGTCATCTCTCCTTTTGTTTTGACTTGTAAGCAACCATCTTCGTAAATATTGTTGAGTTTGTTGTCAGGTCTACAGATCAACTTGGCTGGGTGGATGTTTTGCTATTACAGTTAATTGTTTGCAGAAAAAAAGATAAAAATCACAATGAGCTGTTTGAAAAGTTTCTAGATGATATTGTTGAGTGATGCTCTTAGTTTCAAAGTGACCATGGTTTGATGAGCATCTTTTGAGTTCACTGATAAATTACTGTAGCTATCAAAATTAAGTATTACTCTGTCCAGTTTATAAGGCATTTCACATAGGTTAACAGTCAAACTTTATAATCTTTCACTAATAATTTGGCTAAAAACTTTTAATTATTGTAATACAAACTTGATACTATTGTTAGTTTTTTAATCAAATGCACTATCCAATAATCATAAGTTTGTAATCATAAACAATATAATATAAAATAAATGTATGATCAAAGTATAATTTAGGAGACCGTGTCATGTCAGAAGACACCTTATAAACTGGACCGGAGGGAGTAATTATTAGTCCTAAAATTTAAGTGAGATTATGCAGGCCTATAGATAATTACTGGTTCCATGCTTTAGAGCATCTCCAAGAGGCTCTCTGTATTGCTCTTTATCACAAAATTTAGAAAACAAACTAGAAAATCAGGCTCCAATACTCTCTAAACCACTCCATCTTTTCCACTCTCCAAAACCACCACTCCTGCTCTCCATTAATGGTGAGGCTACAACACTCTATATTTTATATACGATAGTTCTCTCATGAATTTTATCACACAAGGAAATTATAATAAACTATTAGAGTATATAGAGAATGAAACTTAGAGAGTCCATTGGAGACACGAGAGATATATAAAGAGTATTCATGGAATGGCTATCCAAATAGAGATATAGAGATTAAAGTTTAGAGAGTCTCTTGGAGTGCACATCTTTGTTATGTAAAAAATAGTACAGCTATACTAGCTGACTTCAATTTAATTGGACAAGTTAATGATTTGTATTTATTATTATTTCTTTTAATGTATGCTAATGGTAAAACTTTAATGTTGAAGGCAAAGTACAAAGTTATTTTAATGTTTTGGAATGAAGGAGTCGCCATTGGATAAGCAGGCCTAATTTTGTAGGACTCAGATGGCTTGTTCTTTTAACAACAATCTTTCAAATATGGCCACTTTTGAATACCAAATGGGACCATAAAAACTTGGGAGGGTTATGTAAGAGGGTTCAGTTCTTAATTTGTAGTTAACTGAAAGCGTATCAGTTTGAGTTTAATGCTTACACAGCTTAGTAATTATGTACATTTAATAATCTGTTTTGTGTTTAGTTCTTTTGCCATAATTGGAATCCAGCTATCGGTAAGTAAGGGTGTGCATGGATTTTGTAACCTATCCAATCCAAACTGAAAAGTAAATATATGCATGGGTTGGGTGGGTATGTGTGCCGGATGTGACTATGTGAGATCATTATGCTGCCACCAAAGCCAGTGAGGACGAGCAGAATGGTGGCATTAGGCCTGGACCCGGTTACCACCCGAGCCAAGCCCACCTAATTTTTTGGTTTCATGGATGGGTAAATTTTTTCTCCCTATCCGTCTAAACCCACAGATGCGCACCCATAATGGTAAGCATGTGGTTCTAGAACCCAGGATTTTGTAGGCTCAGCTTTGCTATTCTCTCTGTGCTCTGGTTTGATGGAATATGTAAAATATAAACAAGGATGAAATTACCAACATTAATATTGTGTTATGTTTGACGTGAGTTGTGACTTATTGTATTAGAATATGCTTCTTTTTGTTGGATAACATTGTGGACTAGCTAAAAGATCTCCCATCTTTCGATGTCAGGTTCAGATGTGATGTGAAGATGACTCCCTGTTACTGCCCTACCCTCTGCTGGATGCTTTGATGTCAACGTGCATACACGAGCAGTTGTGGCTTCCTGGTGGTACATACTGTAGTAAGATAAATAGTTTCGCTTGTAACTGTGGTTGTATCCACATGTGGGGACGTTTAGATTGTTAGTGCTTAATTTGGGCGCATTTAGGGTTTCTTAATCTATATCAAAGCGTGCATTCATATCCTTAATTGCGCTTTGAATTCCTGATTATGCACTGATGATGTGTGCATGGCCTCTGAAAGGCATGCAAAGACTGCATGCTAGTGGCACCACTAATCCATAGTGCCTTCAGCTTTACTGCTGGTAGTAACTTCTGCACCTGACTAGTGGGCGTATACTGCTAGTGCTAGGTCATGAACAAGTTTCAGGTACCATATGCGATGAACTAGTTGCATTTGGCTCCAGTGGTTTGAACGCCAATCTCTTACTGAAATCCTAGCAAAAAAATGTGGATTTCTGAATATGTTGATTTATGATTTACGTTGTTGTCTGTATTTTTGTGGCTTTGGTCAGCCATCATATTTCGTAGCAGGCGCAGGAGTACAGGGCAGTGGAACATAACCACCAGCTTCGTCGAAAAGAAACAGTGAACAGCAGAGCAGTGGCAGCTGGCCACTTCATTTGGAGACTAATTGGAGCTTCGGTTTGGGAGACTAGCAGGTAGAATCACAAAAATTGTTAGGGGACACTTTAGGCTGCGTTCGGCTGGCTGGCTACGTTCGGCTGGGCTGACCAGCGCACTCACAGCAGCACTGCTCACATGAACAGTGTTTTTAGACAGAATAATATTTTTCTCTCACAACAATTAGCCGGAATAGTATTTTGGTTTATTTTTCAGTCCTGTCGAACAGCTGCTCTATGCCAAAGTGCTGTCACTCACCTCGCTGAGGAGCTCCGCAGTTTGCTTTCTCTGAATTTTATTTCCTGGGTTGTCCAACAGAGACCTCGGTCTTGTAATAGAGTTGCTCATGAATTAGCGCCCCTAGGGAGTTCTTGTGATCCGGCTGAGGAACCAGCTTTGGATTCCATCCTGGCACATATCTTGTATTTACTTGCTGATGATTCAGCGTCGTTTCAGTAATGGAAATGCTTTTCCCCTAAAAAAACATCAGACTAGGGATTGGCCCGCATGGAATTTTGCCCTTGAAGAAATGCTTTGCTTCAGCCTTGATCATCTGACAACTAACGTAATATGCCCTGTTCGTTTAGCTGATAAGCCATGGCTGAAAATACTATTAGTTGATTTGTTGTGAGAGAAAAATACTGTTCGTTAGCTGAAAAAATACGGCTTTATAAGCTAAGCGAACAGGACGTGTCATGCACCTGTCATGGACTCGTGGTTTGTCATGTGCTGATGTGCTCGTCTCCTTGAGAAGATTTTACACCTCGAGCCAAAGTTTATGAAAAGGAAAGTACCAGCGCTCTCACAAACACGCTTCTTCCTCAACATGGCCCGCTCTTGTCTTGCCGCAGCTGGTAGGCCTTCCCTAGCGTTTCGAGTGACCTAACTGGCTAAGGCTATCTCCAACGACAACATCCAAAATACAAGACTTATTTATTTTTTGATAGCGCTACAGACAAAAGGTTTCATACCTATTCGGCATCTTCTCCAACAACAAGACCCAAAAAGAGAATCATTTCTGCAAATGGGTTTTCAGGAGAGAGAATGCACATATTTTGATACTGCCTCTCAGGCAACCCAAAATAAGGTCTCCCGTATAGTTACTCTATTGGAGGCTAATTTTGGATCTCTTACTACCTATTTTGGGTTTGGATGCCCATATAGGTTCATTGTTGGAGACAGTCTAACCAATCATCTCTTCAGCAGTTTAACAAAAGGAAGAAGACATTGGAATCTCTCGGAATGGGCATAAAGTTGTACTCTTGTTTCGTGCGAACTCGAAAGACCTTGCCTTTGCGCGTCGATGTATTAGAGGAAGGTGCTAAGAAGCACATAGTTTTACGACATTGGCACGTCCATAGTGCATCTATATACTTACATTCATAGTGCAAACCACATCTTCGGCTCAGTCTTCTTAAGATTTGATATTCAGCCTGTTCGCTTGTTGGTTTCAGCCAGCCCAAACCAGCCAGCCAACAGTGTTTTTCTCTCACAAAAAACCAGCACCAGCCAGCCCAAACCAGCACCAGCACCAACTAGCGAACAGGCCCATTCAAACTATGCACATCCATAGCGCATATATAGACTTACATTGTCACAAATTTTGAGATTCAAACTCTGTCTGGAAGATTCATACGAAAATAACAAATTTTAGATGCACGTGCACTAGAAGACAAAATTACTAGAAATTCGTCTTCTAATTCATATGTATTTGAATTTTTTTATTTTTCTACAATTTTTAAAACTCTGTCTAAAAATACTCATACGAAAATAAAAAAATTTAGATGCATATGCATGAGAAGACAAAATTTTTAGGAATTTGTCATCTATGCATATGCATCTGAAATTTGTTATTTTTCTATGAATTTTTATAAAATGTATTTGAATCTCAAATTTTGTAGCAATGTTCATGAATAGATGTACTATGAATGTGCATAGTTTCGAATGTTTTAAAAACTTCTAATTATATATATTTTTAATGGGGTTTTCACAATTACATCGAAGATATGGTTTCCATGGAATATTTTGCCATAATAAGAATGCATGCACACAGGGGGGCCGGACCTGATCTCCTCTCGGCCCAACCCAGCAGCTGCATGAAAGGAATCCTTTGTTTGGGCTGATGCATGAT